CCTCCACATTGGATTTGGGAGGGAGAGAAGAGAGAACTCTCCAGCTTCCTCCTTACAAGAGAGAGACCAGGTACAGAGACCGCTGGTCCCACAGCGAGAGGCAAGGCAGACATGCTAACAGGGTACAGCTTTGCATGAAGTGGAATAAACCAAAAGGAAGCAATTAAAAAAAAAAAGAAAGAAGAAAAGAAGAGAGAGTGAGCGAGAGAGAGAAACAAAGCCAAACAGTCCTCAGATAAAACAATAATGATACAACTCAACTAAAACACATTTTGGTTATCTTTCCCGTAGTGTCCAAGATAAAGCAAAACAAAAGATGGACTCCTAAATATTTTTGAAGAGAATAGAAGAACAGCACTCAAGTCATTCTAAGGGGTAGGAACAACCGGAAAAAGTCACTTTTTTTTTTTTTGCTAGCATCAGGACAGTCTGCTGCACATGACAAACTGATGCAGCGTCAGAGCAGAGATGCAAGCTAACTGAGATAGCCAGAACCCAGCACATGACACCAATAGATAGAACTGTAGAAAACCCACTTTTCTACCACCATTTTTGTTACAAAAATGGAGTATTAGCCTCTTTATGATCATATATGGCATTGAGGATGAAGATGATGCAATGACTTCCATCCCTGGGCATATTCAGGGGATATTCGTGTTAACTATAAACAATAGCAAAAAAAAAAAGTTATTTTTCTTCCTCTCACAGAAGCCACTTTTGCATGGTTGAAAAATCTGGTTTAAAACAGAACAAATTAGCCACTGAAGCATTTTCGTGGTTAGGGAGCAAACTTAAGTCCATAAAAAGGCATGCTGAGAAGCAGAGGACATAGGCAAACTATCAAAGAAAAGAATTGCTTTTGTTCGGGAGCACAGCAGTCCCAGTCTTCAGAATACCTTTCATAACTTTTACTCTACATCGAGTAAAGAGTGTTCTAGTGAAAACTGCTATCAGTATCTTCGTAACAAAGAAACACTGCCTCCTAGCTCAAATCCATGTTAAATCAATCACA